CTTGTTCTTCTTTACAGCTATCTAGGATTGAGTTGTATGGATGCACCATAATTTAGGTTATTGGTTTTTCTCTTGATGGACATTTGTGTGGCTTCCAAAGGTTTGCTACTATAGACAATGCTGCAGTGAGTAACTTTACACATATGTCACGTCACATATGTGCAAATATATCTGCGGGATAAATTCCCAGAAATGCAATTGGCAGTGCTAACAATTTCACATCAGTAAGTGCCATTTGTAGTTCCCTTCCCCATTTGTTTTCCCCACTGGATTTGGTAGTCTTTTTGTCTACCTAACTAGGGTGGGTTTTGGTGTTTTTTTTTTAGTTTTGTACTGGAGATTGAACCAGGGGCACTCAATCACTGAGCCACATACCCAGCCCTTTTTATTTATTTGAGACAGGATCTCACCAAGTTGTGAGGGCCTCGCTAAATTACTGAGGCTGGCTTTGAACTTGTGATCCTCCTGCCTCTGTCTCTCAAATTGCTGGGATTACAGGGCTGCACCATGGCACCCTGATCCTTTTTTCTTTTTCTTTTTGCTGTGCAGGGGATAATGGACTAGGCAAAGGTTCTATTCCTGAGCTACATCCCTAACCCCTCTGCCTAACTTCTACAAGTTGTATATGTATGTGTGTGTGTGTTTTAACTATCAGAAAGTTTGGTCTTTTGTGATGTTAGCTGCTGACTTTTGTACTGTTGGTAGATAGGACTCCTTTAGAAGGAGAAAGTGCCAATTTGCAATGTGTGAGAGTCCCCATGTCCTCACCATTAGACCAATGTTGTGTTGCTCCAAGTTTGGATTTTTGCCAATCTGATAGGGGAGAAATAGTTTTTCAGTGTCGTTTTTTTACATTTGTCTTATTATGTGTGAGAGAAAGAGGTTGAAGGTCTTTTCATATGATTAAGGCCATTTGTGATTCCATTTATTGTTAACTGCCTAAATATCTATTTTCCCACCAGGTTTCTGCCTAATTTCTTGGTCTTTTTTCTTGCCTAATTTCTCAGAGTTTTTTATTTATTTGCTTGTTTTAATGTATGAGGCAGTTTAGACCTTTGGATGGTTTTTCTTTCAGATTGTCATTTAGCTTTTGATTTTGCTTATGCTAAAGTATTGTTTTGTTTTGTCTTTTTTTCTTTCACCAAGCAGAAGTTTTTGACTTTTATGTAGTTTGAATTGACCCATCTTTTTCTTTTATGGCTGATGGAAATTGAGTTGTAGTTAGAAAAGACTACCCACTCTAAGGTTATATCGGAATTCTGCCATGCTTTTTTCTAGGACTTTAATGGCTTCATTTTATCACGTAGAAATCTTTGATCTGTTTGGACTATTTCCTGGTGTATAGTGGGAGGTATGGATCCAACTTTATCATTTTCCAGATGGCTGACAAGAGATATTTTTTAACAGGGAGCTGGTCCAAAACACACCAGAGAACACTTTCTTCAGGAAAAGGTCACGTGCCTCAGCAGAAGGTGTTGCGAATTATAGTAAGGAGCAGTTTTCTTTAATTAGCAAAGATTCATTTGTTCAACAAATATTTCTCAAGTGTCCACTGTGTGCCAGATAGTTTTCTAGATACTGAAGCTAGAAAAAATACATAGTCCCTGCCCTTAAGGAGCTCACGTTCTCTTGGGGGAAGATAGACAATAAATAAGCAAGTAAATACATTTATACCATGTTAGGAATTATAGGGAAGAAAGACGTTCCAGTTACCTTGGCTGTGTAACTAATTGTGCCAAAACATACTGGTTCTGTGGATCAGAGATTTGGACAAGGCACAGCACAGGAGCATAAGGGATAGGATAGCCGATGACTTTTCTCTACCCTTTGAGATCTGGGGCCTTACTGGAAGACCTGAAGGCTGGGGCCTGGAATTGTCTGAAGGCTCGGTCACTCATGTACCTTGTGATTAATGTTTGCTATTGGTTGGGAGCCTTGATTCCTTTCCACATGAATGTCCCCTTATGGTCTGTGTGGCCCAGTTTGGGCTCCAGTGATATGGTAGGTTCATATAGGTAATCTCAAAGAGTCAGGTGGATGGTGCATTATAGATTGAGACCCAGTTAACCAGTTGTGCAAGGTTGCTGCTGCCACAATTTGTCAGAAGCATGTTACTAAGGCTGGCCCATATTACAGAGAAGGAAAATAAGGCTCCCTTTTGATGGGAGGAATGGTTCTTGAAGAGCTAATGGGACCATATGTATTGCTGTGGCCATTTTTAGAAAATACAATTTGCTACTGAAGCAAAGAAGGCTGGAATGAGAAAGAAGTGATGTTGGTGGAGACTGGTGGCATTGTATACAGGGGGGCCAGGGATATGTGACCCGACAGAAGTGGGGGAGGAAGTTTCCTAACTGGGGAAGGATTCCAGACAGAAGGAACAGCAAAGTCATTTTGGCCAAGAGGCAGAGGGAGTATATTCGACTTATGTGAAGAGCATGATGAGCATTAGCTTATGTGGAGCAGGAACAGGTGGGGGGCATATAGACAGATGGGGGTCAGAGAGATTCAGGCAGCAAATCGCTACTGCAGGCTGGTTGTAAAGACTTTAGCTTGCTTTCTGAGTGAATTGGAAAACTATTAGTTTTGAATTACTATAACAGAATACCTGAGATAACTAACTTATAAAGAGAAAAGGCCTATTTAGCTCGGAGTTCTGGCAGCTCTAATCCAAGATTGGGTTAAATCCATTGCTTTGTGCATCTGGTGGGGATACTGGAAGAGTATCTGCTCTGGTGGGAAGCACATGGCAGAGCAAACCGCTAATCTCATGACCAGGAAGGAAAAAGAGTCCTATAATCCTCCTCAAGGGCATGCTTGCTCCCAATGACCTAAGGACCTCCCATAAAGCCCCACCTCCTAAAGGTTTATAACACATCCCAATAAAGGGCCCAGCCCTTAATGCATGGGCCCTGGAGGACACTCACCCAAACTATAACAGAAACCAAGGAGAGCTTTGAGTGGAGGAATAACATGCTCTCATTTATGTTTTAATGGATTTGCTCTGTCTGCTGTGAGAACAGATTTGGGGGTGGGAGGCAAGGGTGGAAGTGGGGAGACCAATTAAGAAGCTGTTGCAAAAATAAAGCAGGACACAATGAATGCTTGGACCAGGATGACAGTGGAGGAGTTGGTGAGAAATGGCCGGATGCTGGATATATTTTTTAAAATAGAACTAACTGGGTTTGCTGATGGGCTACATGTGGGTTAATGGCTAGACCATACATCCTTATTTGTCTGGGGCACTTCTGGTTTATGTAATAAAGTATATGGTCATCCTGGTTAGAAGGAAAAGAGAGGATAACAGAATGACTCCAGAAGGTTTTGCCTTGTACAACTTGAAGAATCAAGGCATCATTTGTATGGGAAGAATTGTGAGGGGAGTCGGGTCTGGGGAGGGTGTGAATCAGGAGTTCAGGTTTGGATTTTTAAATTGCTAATAAGACACCCAAGTGTCTCAAAGGCACAGGGACACAGTGAGTGGTGGATAGAGTTAAAGGAGGAGGAATGAGGAGGCAAAGAAAATTTGTGTTACTGGATCACAGGGAGCAGGAAGCCATAAAGCTTCATGTCCTCAAGTTTTAGTGAGGAAGAATCAATGAGGGAGAGTGTATTAGTTGGTGTTTAGTCACTACAAGAAAATATCTGAATGGATTATGTATGAAGAAGAAGAGGTTTATTTTGTTCACAGTTTTGGAGGTTCAAGAGCAGGGCACTGACATCAGCTCAGATCTGGTGAGGCCCCCTATCCCAGCTATGTCATCTCAGAGGTTCAAGAGCAGGGCACTGACATCAGCTCAGATCTGGTGAGGCCCCCTATCCCAGCTATGTCATCTCACAGCAGAAAACAGTGAGTGTGTGAGTTTGCATCACCAAACAAGAATTCAGAGAGAGAGAGAGAGAGAGAGGCTGGGCTCCCATAATCCCTTCTGAGGGGAAAACTCCAATTACCTAAGAACTTCCCATAGGCCCTGCCTTCTAACGGTTCCTTTTCTGAATCCCACCACACTGGGGCCCAAACCTTCACCTGTAATGGACCTATATCCAAACCATAGCCACAGTAAGATGGAGCTGCTGTAGAATGGGAGGGGAAGTGGTGGAAGTCAGTGGAGTCATTGTTATGTGGAGGTGTATTTTCTACAACAGGGTAGGTTCGTGATGTTACTTTTTTTTTTTTTTTGGTTCTGGGGCACTTTACCACTGAGCTACAATTCCAATCCCCCCTCCACTTTTTAAAAATTCTTTTTCATTTTTTATTTTGAGACAGGTTGCTGAGAGTCTTACTAAGTTACTGAGGTTGGTCTTGAACTTGGATTCTCCTTCCTCAGCCTCCCCAGTTGCTGGGATTGCAGGTGTGTACCACCATGCCCAGTTACTATTTGTTTTGAAAGAGAAATTTTCTTAGGCATGTGTACTTCCTTATATTAAACAGGAGAGCAAATATTATCAGTTCTTTTTTCAAATTTAACAAAAATATTTAATGCTTCCAAACAAAAGTATAAAAATACAGTAGGAATGACAGTTTGCTACAAAGTGGTCTCTCCTAACTTATTTCTTTTATGTCTTTTCTACTTTGTGTGTTGCTGGGATTTGAACCCAGGGCCTCATGCTTGCCAAGTGAACACTTCACCACTGAGCTATATCCCCAGCCTGTTTTCAACATTTCATACATGCATTTTAAAAAGCTTAACAATGCTAGAGATGGTGGCACTTGCCTTTAATCCCAGAGACTCAGGAGGCTGAGGCAGAAGGATTGCAAGTTCAAGGCCAACCCCAGCAAGTTACCTCGCCTAGCATGTGTGGGGCTCTGGGTTCGATCCTCAGCACCACATAAAAATAAAATAAAGGTATTGTGTCCAACTACAACTAAAATAAAAATTTAAAAATATTTTAAAAATTAAAAAAATAAAAAGAGCTGGGGATATAGCTCAGAGGTAAAGCGCCCCTGGGTTCAATCTCCTGTGCCAAACAAACAAACAAACAACACTTAACAATACATAAAAGATATGGATCACTTCACAAATATGCACGTCATCCTTGCCCAGGGGTCATGCCAATCTTTGCATGGGTCTGACTTTTTAGTATATGTGCTGCTGAAGCAACAAGCACTCGCTGACTCACGCCACCAACTGGTACAAGGGATTGAAGCCAGGGGCACTTTACCACTGAGCTGTATCCCTAGCTCTTTTTAATTTTTATTTTGAGACAGGCTCTTGCTAAATTGCCCAGGCTAGTCTCAAATTCACCATCCTCCTGTCTCAGCCTCCTGAGTTGCTGAGTTTACAGGTCTGCGCCACATGTCCAGCACCACTGGCTCTTTTAAGTAATGCCACAGATGTCAAATAATTTGTAGGCACATCCTCCAGAGTTGCTGAGGCCCCTGGCTGGCTTGTTCTTGCTCTGCGGCCCTAGATATGCTGTGCTCTGAAACACCACCCTCTATTGCTTTTTCCTGCCTTTTCTTTGTGGCAGCTATTGTTTTCCTTCTTGTCCTGGGTCCCTCCTCCTTTAATCCTGGGCTTTCCAGGATACAATTGCTGATAAGGAGTTTATCAGGTGTGGAAGAACCACAGGTGAAGGAGGGTCTGTCCTGTGACCTTTAGTCACTATTTGAGCTGATTCAAGGCCTCTTCCTGCTTCCTTCTTCATTTCCCCTGGATAATTGCTTGCGGGAATGTGACTTTTGGGTAAACCAAGTGGAACTATAAAAGTTATCTTGTTGCTGAATCCATTCAGTCATTCTGTATTGGCCAGGGTCTTCACACATTGTGTCACACATTATGTTAGACCCAGCTGGGGCTACAAAGACGGATCAGTTCCTTTATATAACCAATACCAGTTGTGGGCTTATAGCCCAAACAGACAGCAATCCCTGCCTCTTTTGAATTCACATTCTAGAGGGAGAAGGACAACCACCAATATGATAAATGTATACAATATCAAGTATGCACATGGTGCCAAGCACCATGGAGAAATTGTCAAGCAGAGAAGGAGTATGGAGAATGCCAGGTGAGAACTGCACGGTGACACTAGGAGGCTTGGATCTTGTGGTCCTCTTGCCTTAGCCTCCTGAATCGCTGGGATTCCAGGAGTGTGCCACTGTGCCAGGCTACATTCCCACCCCCTTTTAAATTGTTTATTTTGTGACATTAAAGTTGGCCAGGCTGGCCTCAAACTTGCAGCCCTCCTGCCTTGGCCTCCTGAGTAACTGAGATTATAGCCAACACACCCAGCTCTGTCCTCTGATCTTTTTTCTTTTTTCTTTTTTTGTGGGGCCTTATGATAACCTGGCAGCTTTTGCTTTTGAATGTTGGGAGCCCCAAGCTGCCATGTCTGGCCACACTGCTAGAAAGGTGTCGCGAGGTGGCAAAATTGTAATGCATGCAGTCGAGGGGAGAAATAAAGAATATCCACGCACTTCTGCCCCTTTCAATGCTTTATTCACTCAAATTACTTAGAACAATTTTACTCTATAGGTTCTTAATGCTAGGCACAGCAGTAGACATAATCAATTCACAGCAAACAATTCTAGATTAATTCTAAGCACTGCAAAACACACGTAATCATAATAGGCTAATGACAGACATTTCCTCTGCATGCTAAATTCAAATGTCAGATCAAAAGTCTTAAGCCTTAGGCTTTAAGTCCAGCTGATGACACTCACTTAGACTGCGGTGACCAGGTCTGGAACCAAGGCAGGCTTTTCCTGGCATGGAGTGGAAGACCGGTTGAGGAGAGGGTCTTAGGGAGAAGTTGTGGCTCTCACCAAGGTCCAGACGAGGCAGTAGAGTTTGAGAGCAGTAAGGATCATGCAGAGGATTAGGAAACGATGACAAGTGATGGGATGTCAGGTCCTCATCAGGCTCTCCAGCTCGAGTGCATCCTTAATTTGGCTGGCTGAATTCCTGTTCATTTGCTCTATTATTTATACTAAATTTGGGGGCTTTTGACCCCCCTTTCAATCCTTATCAGCTACCTCTGGATTTCTCAGTGACATCATTTACCCTGGGGTCAGAAACCCTGGACTGGTGGTCTCCACCCTGATCTTCTTGCCTTTCCCTCTGTTCAGGCGAGGATAGCCTGCCAGGGGCTTCACTCTGTTTGTCAGAGTGAGAGGAAGTAACTTGTTTGAGGCCATACTGGAGGGCTCTGTGGGTGTGCCTGGTGAGACAGCAGGTTTCAAACTGGAGTTTTTAAAATGGAGTTGCTTAGGCTCAGGCCTAAGGCCATCCTAACAAAAGGCCACACAGACCAGCCTTGTGTCAAAGGAAAGGACCTGAGACTACAAGAAGAGCCTAGTTGTCCCATTCCAACATCCAGTTGGGCCCAGGCTCTCAGCCATCGCCTGATAAGCCATAGAAAAGTGAATGAGTTGTTTTAGATGTTCCAGCCTGGTCAAGTCTCAGATGACTGCAGCCCCCATAAAATCCTGTGTGGATGAAGAACCATCTAGCAGAGCCCAGTTAGTCTGTAATTTTTTTTTTTTTTTTTGTCCCAGGGATTTAACCCCAGGGTACTTTACCACTGAGCCACATCTTCAGTCTTTTTATTTTTGATTTTTTTTCAGACAGGATCTTGCTGAACTGCTTAAGGCCTCACCAAATTGCTAAGGCGGCTTTGAACTTGTGATCCTCCTGCCTCCTGTGCCAGGCTACATCCCCACCCACTTTTAGATTTTTTTATTTTGTGACACTAAGTTGGCCAGGCTGGCCTCAAACTTCCTGAGCCACTGGGATTACAGGCATGCACCACCATGTGTGGCAGTCCACAAAATCTTGAGAGATGATAAAATGATTGTCATTTTGTGGTGGTTTATGGTGCCGAAACAGATAGCCAGAGTACTTTTGCTGACCACCCTCGCTCAAACTGCAGCTTCTGTGTCTTTCTGTTTCCTTTCCTCTGCTTTGCTATTTTCCACAGCACTTAAAACATCCTGACATTTATACCCATATTGTTCATTGTTCACCTCTTCTAATCTCCACGAGAGTGGGGAATTTTGTGTGATTTGCTCATGGCTTTATTCCCAGAGTTTAGGACAGTGCCTAGCTTCAAGTAGGGACCCAATAAATATTTGTTGAATGACTGACTATTTAAGTAATTAATCTTCTAAGATCCAAATAGTGCAGGGTGTGGTGGCTATAATACCAGATACTCAGGAGGCTAAGGCAGGAGGATTACAAGTTGGAGGCCAGTCTGGGCAATTTAGCAAGACCCTGTCTTAAAATAAAAAAGAAAAAGGACTGGGGATGTAGCGCAGTGATAAAATGCCCCTGGGTTCAATTCTCTGTGTGTGTGTATCCAAATAGCATCTCTTTTATAATGGCCCTTTCCGCCTGGGGGAGGATTCATTCTTAGCTCACAAGGACACATACTGTTCCCTGAGGTGCATCCTGCAACTGACCTCATGCATGAAAATCCACATATTTTTGTTGAACTGCTACATGGAAGACTGATTGGAAAACTACACATAAATATTTTAAAATAAACAGCAATTTTAAGCAATCAGTTGTATGTTTGGGCATCCCCTCTGTTGTGGAGGGGCAGGAAGCAGTAACTGATGCAAGGGCTGGTTCCAGGAAGGGGCCAAGAGCCCTGAGGTACTAAGGAAGAGGGGGATGTAGGGCTCTTATCCAGCTGCTCATGCTTCCCAGGGTCTACCTCTGAGTCCCCTCTATATAACAACTGCCCCATGAGATGCCTCCTGGACTCCCTCTGCCCCTACGCAGAGGGGCAGATTTGTGTCACCACCATGGTCCACACAGTTGCTATTCTCTCCTCTTGTTCTATCAGCCTGACATTTCCTCAGCCGATTCCAAGCCCAGAGTACCATTTTAGCTGACGTGGGTGAGTGTTTCGCGGGGACAGCAGATGGATGGAATGACAAATAGCAGGATGGTGGGGACAGCTGAGAAGTGCTTTTTCCTGTGCCGGAACTGTTGGCTGTGCACGTGTTCCGACGTAGTCTAGACACACTGTGGCAGCAGCAGTGTGTGCTAGGGGACAGCCAGCAAGCTGGCTTCCATTTTACTGCAAAGCATACTCATCCACACATGCAACCAGTCCACTGACTATCTTAGTTTGGGTTCCCCAAGAAGCAGACCTTCAGACAGTCATTTATGTGACCCCAGGAAGTGTGTAAGGCAGTGAAATGGTGAATAGGGAAGAGAAGAAAGCCAGTACAGAGTGGTTAGGGAGAGGACTCTGCCATGGGAAATGGGCACCCTGGGTGACTGGCAGAACTTGGCCCAGAGTTGCTCTAGGCTGGCTGTTTATCCACTAACTCCTGATTTTCCTTGGTTAAGAATTGCCCCAGGGGTGTAAACTTTGGTCCCCTCTGCACCCAAACAAAACCTTCAGGCAGGAATTCTCAAGTTCTCCTAGGTGTGGTGGCCCACACCTGTAATCCCAGCTACTTGGGAAGTTGAGACAGGAGCACAGAGAAAAGTTAGTCTTTTTCTTATTTTTTAAATTATTTATTTACTTTGTAATACAGGGTTTTATCCCAGGACTTCACATATGCTGGGCAAGTGCTCTACCACTCAACTACACCCCCAGCCCTTAAAAAAAAAAAAAAGTATTTTAAATAAAATAAAATAAAAAGTATTTTGAGATGGGTTCTTGCTAAATTGCTGGGGCTCACCTTGAATTTGTGATCCTCCTGCTTCAGCCTCTCCAGCAGCTAGGATTAAGGGTGTGCACCACTGCACCTAGATAGGTTAGTGCTTTTTATATTTTTCTGATCATTATTGAGAAGAAAACTTCTGGAGGTAAGAAGTTGGCACCTGACTTTTGCTGGAGTATACTCCCCCCTCCCCACTTTTTTTTTTTTTTATCAGGAATTGAATCCAGGGGAGCTTAACCACTGAGCCACGTCTCTGGCCCCTTTTTATTTTTTATTTTAAGACAGGGTCTTGCTGAATTGCTTAGGGCCTTGCTAAATTGTACCTGCATTTTCTTTCTTCTTTATTTTTTTTTTTCCCCAGTGTTGGGAATTGAACCTGAGGCTTTGCACATGCTAAGCAAGTACCCTACCACTGAGCCACATCCCCAGCCCTGGAATACCCTCTTTTTTTAAAAAAAGAGAGCAGCCCTTAGATTCCGCTTTTTGG